TTTTTTCACGGAAAGACTAGGCGTTGGTTGCTGCCGTATAGGCGAGTCTGGTATTGTTGTAGGTTAACAATTTCGTCAGACATATCCTCATTGCTGAAGTATTTCCTCTTCCTTTATTAGAATGCGTCTGGACTTGTCTTTCAGCGCTCTTAGGCAGTCCTTTACATCTCTGTAGCGACGTGTGGTCTGCTAGAATACCTCATTTGCCGTCTTTAAATTGACTCCATCATCTGACCGAACTTTATCAAGGAATCAGCTTTCGCTTTAGTCGCTGCTTTCGTTGCGGCCTTTCACACTTCTTCCTACCGCATTCCAGTTGAAGGCTCATTGCTTCCTAACCGGTTCTTTATTTTGACTTTCTTGCCTGCTTCTAACTGAATCTTTGATGTCCACCACGAAGTTTGTTTCTGAATTCTAAGCGGTAGATAAAACGGTTTAGACCGCAACATGTGGCTAAATCCCTAGTAAGCCGCTTTCAAAGAGCTTCCACTCCGTTTTCATATTAACGATCATCGCGATCTGTTCAAACTGTTGTGCGATGTTGTTTGCAAGTTTTGTCCTCGCATCCGGAAGATAGTTTCCTAGTATATTCTGTTGTTGCTTCTGCCTCCAGGTCTACACATTGTATACTCCATTGTTGGCAGCGGAAGGTACCAACACAAGGTGATGATCGGTTGACTGCTTTACGCCTCCCTTACTGCGGTCATTCAATTCTGAGCGTCATAAGTCAAAAGTTAAATTATCAAATCGAGCATCCACTTCTAATCACAATCTTCTTTCGCTCAGTAATATGATATAATCTCTAGTTCAGTGCACCCACGTCCTCCAAGAACGACTTATATTTTCTCTCCGAATTGTATGCGCAGAGTTTTAACAAAGTCAGATCTTTAGTCTGTTATGACTTCAGTTACAGGATTACCTCGCCCGCTGACAGGTTTCTATTCAGTGAGCATCAATCAGGTTCATGTATCCAGAACTCTGACCTGAATTCGGGTTGTAGAGTGGACACCTCATTAGAATAGCTTCTGTTCACAGAGATTCAAAATTCTTTAAAAATCTGGCTGTTCGTTGACGAGATCCCAATCATGTTTGGTTGCTACCTCTCCGCCTCATCAACTTGCTCCTGCTCTTTCCCTTTGAGAGAGGAGATTTCCTTTCCCGACTGTGAGCTCCTACTGTCCTTGTCATTCTCTTGAAGACTTATCTGATTTGCTATAATGGCATCGCCCTGCTTCGTTCACAACATTTAGGAATTCCCTTACTCACTGGTGCTTTCATCGTCTTCTTGTCAGTCTTCAGCACCCATCGCTGCGCTGCTATTCTCCCACCTGCTAGACGGCGTGCATGAAGTAGGTTCTGAGTTTTTGCAGTCTGGCGCACGGTACGAATAGCCTGCGTGACCCTTAGTAATTCGCAGTCCCTTATAATGTTGTATAACGGCAATAATATCAGCAACATGTGTCCAGATTTTACGGAACTTTGCAACTGTTCCAAAACTTTTTCCTTTCTCATCCTTGTTTTGTTCTTGCAAAGGGGAGTTTGAACGAACGGTAAAGATCGTCGCGAAGATTAACTGATTTTCACACTACTGTCTTGCTGACATTTGGTCTGTTATAGGACAGTTGCTCGATTGAACGTGATTTGCTGAGTATAATCGCTTGAATATATACTGCCACATATACCATGTCTACCATGGGTTGATATTAATATGAATGCTTTTTTGATCAGTGAATTTAGTTAGGTTTTTTCCAAGGATATCGGTGTGAATCGTTTCCATCATTCCTTTCTGCCGATTTTGTATTTATGCTGTTCTTTACGAGAGATTATACTTTGAAAGCGATGAAGTCGATTTTTTAAATCTTGCTTTACCTTCATCCAGTTAGGTGAATTTTTCTGGGTTCATATCTTGTGCTCGAGGTTATGAAAAATTGAGACTGTCATTTACACTGTCATGTGCAATCCAGTACTTTAGTCATTGTTCGCACGGATGTGCAGTTTGTGGAGAGGGAGGACCAGTTTATCCAAAAAATTTTCCATGTGTTCGTGACCCCTTTAAACTGAATAAACTTTCATTTCTTGTATTGATCAGTCAGCAAAAGAACGAAAGAAAATTTACCGGCGTGGGAATGTCGCATTCCTCCACGTTCATGACTGGGCTATTTTGGCTTCCTGGTTGCTGAAGTTGATGGTGCGATGCTGATTTCATTTTTTATGCCAACAGCCAAGAGTGGCTTGTTTTAAAAGATAGGATCTACAGATATGCAGCAAGCGCAGCGTGTAATTTATTTTCTTCCCACGGGGTGGTCTCATTTATCAACCTCGGAAGGAAGAATGGCGATGTCTGTGACCGGAGTTTAAACACTGGTTTTGTCTGTTCTGAGTTCGGCGCTGTACCTTCTGAATAACCACGGTCTGAAGCAGTATGTGGAAAATTTCTTCCTCAAGGGAATTCGCGAGTAAAACAGATTGTCCTCAAGCAGAAATCGAACCCCACTTATACCGGGTTTCGAAGCGAACCTATTAGACAACTGTGCTGCCACCTCACTCACCGGTCAGGCAAAGCGAATGATGTGAAAGCTGTTCACTACGTTTACAGTTCAAGAATCGGGTTCTGTGAATGAAATAGAATTGGAAAATATTGACATTGTTTCAGAGCCGAACAGTGCAACCAGATTAGGTGTTTAGCAACTGTTGGCCCTTTGTTTTCTCTTCTAAAATGGATTTTCCCAAACAAGCAATCATCTAATAAGAAAGATGTGGATAACTTGCAATAACTTTAACCAGAAAATTTGCTTATCATACAATGGGTACAGCAACGTTAAAATCACAGAATTTTCTTGGACAACCTTTCGAATTCCCTAGATGCTATGTATGTCATCCTGTGCAGTTCTTGATCTACCATTTACGTGGTTTCAAAGCCAATCGCAACCTTGAAACTGGTCAGAGTTTTCTTACAGTATGATGTCACTCAATTCGTTCTAGAACGATATCGGATGGGTTGTCATGCAGATCACTCCTGTGACAAAAATTCCACGCAAACGGCATAGTCGATTAAAGATCACAAATAAAAAAACATCACAAAGACGATGTAATTTTACCATCATACGTCAGAAATTGTCTTGATGGTATATTTTCAGTATGAACCTAACGTTTAAAGAGTTCTGACGATTCTTCGTTATATTTACAAATTAGTCAACATAAATCGGTAATGTTTTAAGACAAATAACCATGCATCGTATCATTTTATGGCTTTATGGTACCTGGGTGTAGCTGATAGATGTGATGACGTGACGTGATAACGTTTTCTGTATTCGGAGTCCATACATTTTGCCTCAAGCGTCGGTGAACTACAGCTTCCCAGAATCACTGATACACCCATATCTACAGTTTCAGAAAAGATATTAGGCGGCACGCCTATTCGTAATAGTCAGAATTACTGAACAAGATCTTGGAGCTGTCATCTTTGACAGGAATTGGGCTGATGATCTCAGCTTGAAATCAGGCGTAGTGAATGGTCACCTGCCGCAGCACATCCGCCGTCGTATGACGGGAATGAAACAACATTTGCTCGAAATATCGGAAAGTTTTGGTTGAAATTTGAAGCCGATCAGATTCTAGTTTGTTATTATGTGACAGTTTTGCGGGAGTGTGGAAATCGTTTTCTTTAAAAATGTTCGATTTTGGCAAATGCTTATTTTGCCTGCGATGCGATTTATCCAACATCATACAGCGGTAGGAAACGATGCAAGTTTACTTGCACTTCCTGAATGATACAGTTTGCTAAATGCGCGATGAAGTCGCGAAAGGACGTGTGCCATATGTGATTTCTTCAACTCTCGCTATATCCGTGGCCGATGCGTTGAATGGCGTGGTTGGTTCTTGCAGGAGGACGGTTTTTACTAATGGTCGACTACACTTATAATAGCGTTGTAGCTGCGCTGTTCGTGGTGGCTTGTAAAAGCAGGGCAAGATTCTCCGTGTGATTACTGGGATATGGTGTTTCGTACTCTATTCCTGTAATTGAATTGTGCTTGCAATAGCATGCAGAACCCGTCTTGTGTTAATTGACGAAAACCTCTATCAACATGTCTGGTTAATGACAGTAAGCAGTTTTTTGTTTTTTGTTATCTTTTACTCGTGCGAATCGTTTCCTTCTGTGATAGGTCCAAGTATCGCAGGACAAGGCTTCAAGATGAATTTCGACGACTACGATATTCCTAGCTCGATGATACGTCACCATGTCAGCCGGTCAGCTATTGGCGGCAGTTCTAAAAGAACGGCGCGCGGTATGCCGGCGTACGCGGATATCACGGAGGAGGAAAAACGGCTGGCTTCCGCAGGGGCTGCATTCCCTCCCAGAAAGCGCCGTCGTCAGGACGAAAGGGAAGGCCAAGACTTTCCTAAACAAGTCAGAATGACCGACGAATCACTTGCTGTCTTGACGGATATGCTGAAGAATGTGGGCGTTGACCTTGGTCGCAGACTGACTGTAAATGATCTGGATATGCTGCGTTGGAGACTGGGTGGCAATGTCATAGATGAGCTACTCAGTCGATTGAATGTATTCGGCACTGAGGGAAATGAAACAGTGCTCCCTCATAATATGGTACAGAAGGAACGGGCTCACATGCTCTATGACCAACACCCGGTTCCGCTGATGGGCGATTCTGGGCGCTTTGGCTACCGAGATTTAACTTCCGGGGACGGATTCGGTATGCAATTTGGAGAGCCAATGCCACTACTGCCGGAGATGTCTGGTCGTCGAATGTCTAGAGAGCGGTCGCCAGTTTATGAACAGCGACCTAAAGGTTCAGACACACGCCGCTACGCCGCTGTTCGTGATGACAGTTATGAATATCGCGATAAAAGCAGCGTGTTTTCTTCAAAGAAGTCGTACGGTCGCTCTGGGATGTCTAATACCAAGCCAGTTTCGCCTACCATGGTTCCCCATCCACGGCAGGAAAGACCGATCACAGATTATGAAATGCGCGATGAATACGAATCAGTAAGATTTGCTTCACGGCCAGATCTTCATCTATCAGATGTGCGAATCGACCGCGCACCGGGGCCTGATCTTGATTTCGGCCCCTCCCGTGAATACATTCAGTCATTCGCCAGAGAAGATCGTGTTTATGGTCGACCCGTTGTCACGCAAAAGATGCGCCTGAACGAATCTAGAGCCTACTCGTCAAGATCTGCCATGTTTCCCGGTAGCAGATACGCCGATAACTTTGAAACGGCTCAGAATTCCCGCTGGTGAAGTTCTCTTTTTCACATACTGCATGACATATATGCATATAGCTGCTCGGATTTATTAAAGGTAGTTTTTACATATCGCAACAGCACTTCTTGTCCTACACAGTTCACATCTCGACAGTTAAGCTGGTCAATAATTATCCTGGTGAAACCTTGAAGTTGAGAAATTTTCATTTTCTCTTTTCTTCTAGGTTCACCGTTTGTGTATTCGAATCAGTTGGTTCTCGTCGTTCGTTTAATAAGCCGACCTTGTGCCAGATTTTGCGTGAATTCGTCTCCGTGTATATTTTATCGTATCTGTATTTTTTACGTGCGTGGCTTGTTTCGTACAACTTTTGGAAATAAAACATTTTTCTTTACGTGCGTATGCCACTTGAGCAGATGGTTAAATGCATTTATTAAATGTGGATCCTTCCTTAGCGTTGAGAGGATGCCATTTGGGTGTGTAACTTTTACAGCAATGTATATTGGTGTTCTTTTGAAGTGAATATTCATTTTCATATGAATCTTGAGATGCCCAGTGCTTATGAACCATCGTTAACCGTGAGTACTGCATTGATTAGCCAAGAACGTTGTGCGAGACGTGAGTGCAATTGCTTTAAAATGGTTCGCAGGTCTTGTTTTTACCATTAGAGCAATGCCAAGTTCTATGTTTTTACCGTTAGATCAATGTCTAATCTGCAGAGCATTTGCAAATAGCAAAACAACGTTCATCTTTTGTTTGCCAAATATGCAGGACATGTGATGTCTGTTTTATCGTCATTTATAATGTAAATGCTGTCACAAGGTTCCTGATTTAAGGACTCGTAAAGATAGCTGAGGTTTCGAATGACACATGGAGTGCGTGCTTCTAAATTCAAAGAATGGCAGTCAGTTGTAGGTTTGGCACCAATATCGCAGTGTTTTGTTATTCTTCGGGGTCAGATGCAGTAAAGCGTTGATTCGTGCATTTGACAGTTTAGTTACTAGTTACTGCTCAGAATTTCAAGTTCGAAGGTATTTGTCTTCTCGTGAGAAAAGGCTGCCATCCTGAGCTAAGTTGTCGCTTTAATTTCACGCGTCAGTACTG